AGGAAGATCCTGATGTTGCGTGGGGCTCGGCCGTCACGCTCCTTTCACAAGACGCGGAGTGAGCGCAGGCTTATGGCAGTTTATGAGTCGCGATAACATCGCGCTTATTACGGGTAATGCATTGCGAATACTAAGGAGAAGAGATGGCGGTCGGCATCGTTGTCAGAAAAAACATGAACGAACAAGTTTGTTGTACGTACAAGTTAAACAAAAACATGTACGCGAGCTGACAACCAAATGTATTCTCAAGATAGTGTATCTCCTACGCCCCCATAGCTTCATGTGTGCTACATGTGTAATATATCTCGTATACTACTTCCGATTAAAGTATCTTTCTAGCCTTTAGTGATGTTCTTGTCTTCTTCTTTTTTTAGTTTGTATTACAGTTTGTATTCTTAACTCCTGGTACAGAAATATTTCTAAAGACCCACGGTGAATTCAATAACTAATCTTATAAGTTAGCTTAAAATCTTTAGAGAATTTATAAGTTTGAAAAGCGTGTTGAGCCTCGGAATTCTATTACATAACTTAATATGTATTCTCCGATGAGACCAAGAGATGTTTTTGTACAACAAATGAAGTCACATCGTAGAAAATGCTCAGAACAGAATGATCCATTAACTCACCCTGCAATGAAATGAATAGATATGGTAAAATCAGTAATCGTTCATCCCAATGTTTATGTACTCGTATACTTACGTATATATGGAGTAAATATACGTAGTATAGAGAAAGTTATGTAATGCTGCGCGAAAAAATGGCAAATTTTCAGCAGAAAAAATTCATTGCTGGGCCCTGACATTGAACAAGTGGATAAATCCAGTTTCGAAATTAAGGAAACGATCCTCTAACACGTTCTGTAGTCAAAATCCCTGTTTTGTGAGTTCTTGATACAGAAAACCCAATGGACGGCAAAAGTCCGACCGTCCGTCCGTCCGTCCGTCTGTGAACAACAATAGCGCCTAAACCATACGTAAGATTTTTTCCAAATAGAAGAAACCCCAGTGGATCTGCTTCGAGTCGAAGCTTTGAGATATCGAAAAAACATTCTTTAAAATTTGGGAGTACTTTACATGAAACCTCACGGACATTTTCAAGCTTTTCTCTAAAATTGCCTCCAAATGTTTTCTTTAAATTTCTTGTAAGAATAGAGTAAATACGCTTATAAAGGTAGCATATTTCCGATTTTCAAAGTTGACTCAGAATTCTCGAAAATTTCAAAAGGTTGAATGATTTCCGGCGTCTTACTACAATTCCGATATTGAAGACAGAGATTTTTTTTTCAAATTAAATTTGTTGTTCATAATCAGTTCTTTCAATGAGGATAAAACATTCCGTTTCACAAATTGCGTACTTTTGAGGCATTTAGAATCAATTTAAACTATTTATATTCGCATATTTTTGCAAATATCATAAGTGCATATTTTTGTATATTTGGGCCATATTTGCATCTTTTTGTTGCATATTCATCTCTCATCCGCGAAAAGAAGCCCAAAAGGTACAGTTCCGTTAGCGTGTAAGCGGCTGTGACAGTTCTCTTGCCACTTGCTATGGTACATCTTGTGACCTCCTCTGAAGCTTCCGAGGATTTGTTCACGTCACCGTAGCCACGGATCAGCGTTACCGTTCGCCTGACTCGTACGAAGCCACCTGAAAAGCACGCTAATATGTCATCGGCAGTATCAGTCAAAATAATATTTGCGTCCGCCGAACGCCTAGGCGTGGCCACATACGGCGCAAACGTGGAGTGGTGTTAAGAGTCAGGCATGTGACGTTGTAGTGAATTGAGAGTATGTCATATTTTTGATGCAATAGCTATAATTTTTATTTTGTGAAATGTACACAAACTGCATCTCACTTTATTTTCCTAAAGAAATTAGTGTTTTTCAAAAGTATATCCTAGGCTATCGCTTGTAACAATTTTGTACGATTTCTGTACCTTTTCTTGCTGGAAACATATTTTCCACATTAACTTTTTATTTATTTTTACACTTACACATTACACTACTTTGCATATTTTCCATTTTTAATTGCATATTTTACCAAATATATTTACATATATGCGCATATTGCACAGCTTTTATTGCATTCAAATCACAGCCCAAGTCATGCCACCCCCATACATTGTTTAGACATTTTTAGGAGTTTTCGAACAGTATGTGCAATTTAAACCTATTACAAAAACAATATTTTTTTCAAAAACAGCCCCAAATTTTTCTTTAAATTATTTGTAGGGATAGTGCTAAATGTACTCTATAAGATGACATCAACGCCATATTTACCTATTCTTTTGGTTTTTCAAAAATTTAAAAAAAAATTGTCAATAATATTTATTATTCAAATATTCTCGTAGTTAGTGTTTGCGTTAGCGACAATTTGTTCATTTTAACGTACTTATGAGAAAACGTTATTTAAAAAGTGACATTAAGTTTCCCCTAACTTAAGTTGTCTGTGAAAATGGGCTCAAAATTCCGCATTTTCAAACATGCTTAAACGCCATTGTGGCAAAAGTGTCTCCAATTTGTTTCTTCAAACTTGTCTTACTAATTGGACTAAATGGATGCGTTAATATGGAATAAAGTTTATGTTGCTGTATTTTGTTTTTTCAAAATTACAGAAATATATTTTTTTAAATACTCTTCACGCCTTTTACAACGATCAGTAAACACTGTTGTATTTGTGACTGGAAGTGCTTGAAATGTTTTTATATGAAGTTTTTCAAAAATTCATTAGTATTTTGAGAAAAGTTCAAATTTTGCATTCACTGTAATGCTAAAACACCATTTTCTAAAAAACTGCTTCAAAGTTTAAACGAAAATTGCCATTTAGGACGAGGTTTTACTGTTTTTTTACATTCTTAAAGTGATAATTCAGTTCTACTGTTAAAAAACCGAAAAATTGAAAATGATTTAAAAATGTACTTTGGACGGCGATAGATGATAGCTGGCAAGATGATGGGGCAAGTCAGAATAGCTAGCCCAGAACAGAGAAAATAGAAAGCGAGTACGAGCAAGTCTGTGCCATTCTGAACCACCACTAGTTAAAAAATGTTGCACTATTGAGTTACGCTAACTTATGCGTACATGTCGAATCAAATATGTGTTGGAACTCTTGACTTTTTATTCACGTATCTTTTCCTTATGTTGTCAGAAGTCAGATAACGTACGCATGGGAAGTAGCACAAGATTTTTTTTTACATCACTTTCATACTTCTTAACTTTAATTTATGATTGTTATTACCATAGTGTTTTATTAAGAAATGTGAACGTTCGTTTCCATTCCCTTGATCTACATGTTATTTCATCTAACAATCGAAATAATATCGTAAATAATGAATTGAGAATAAAGTATTAGCATTTTGCTTTGCATGCGCGATGTGTCATATACCAGTTAAAAGTAAAAAAATCATCTCAAGAAAGCAAACAGAACGTGTTATTTGTATTTGGAAAAATCGTGCATCTGTTAACTCACCATTAATGGTTTCGTTGATATCATCTGACTCTCTACTGATATAGATCCGCCTCTTAAGATACTCGCAACTATGATTTTCAAACCCCCCGAGATTATCCGCGCCCAATTACTATTTGGCTCGCGACTTTTCGAGACAAATAACATCACACCTTAACCTCTGTATTCTTTCTCGTGGCGGCGCAATTGGACGCCTGTCTTGAGGGTTAGTGGAGGGGTCATTGTGCACGTGTAGTTGGTCTCAAAAGAAGGCCTTGAGGAGCACAGACCGCGTAGTGGAGAGCACTTGAAGCGTGTTGCGGGAAAGGTCGAATGAAGGGAAGCGCAACGGGGTCATGTAGAGGGAGTGCGAGTTTCCGTTAAGATCTTTAATGAACAAAAAATACATTATATGACCAATTAGTTACTTTGATTCGTCGCGGACAAAAAGTTCTGCGTACACATCAATGACAAAAACGAATAAAAGAACCATTGGAGTATACCAGATCCATGATACTGTAACAAGGAAACTTGCTACAGTGTCATGGATCTGGTATACTCCAACGATTCTTTTTTTTCGGTGACATTTGTTTTTGTCAATGATGTAGCTCGTGTTTCAGAGACGCAACACCGTCAAAATAAAATAAAATATTTTTCAAACCACTTTACTACTTGTTTACAAGCCAAAGACAGTATGAAAACAATATGAAAAATAGCCTAACGTTACGCTTCAAGACACGTTTGGAAGACGACATCGAGATCACAACTGCCTTGAGCACGATCTTCACAAACGTGTCTGCGCGAAGTTGCGACCGGTTTCCTGCCAAGTGCCGCTCTCGTCTGTAAAGGCCCATTCAAAATGCAAACGTAAACATAAGCATGGCGTTGACATATAAGTTAGGTCTTCGTCCATAAGCGGACTCATTCACAATGCGTTCGCATAAGCATAACACGTAAGACGTTAACTTAAAAGCTTGCAAGCTTCTGTGCTTATGCTTACGGAAGACATAAAAAATGAACCAAGCACAGAAAGGAAGCTGAAAATTGAGAATCAAAATTGGAGCGAAGTCGATAGAAGAACTAACGCCATATGGGACATAGAGTCGATATCTTAAAATCAATTCTCACATCCAACCAGAAAGTCTCACAGTCAATAGGAACTTATTTTGCTTACGTTTATGTTAGGCGTTGTGAATACTTCAGTCTATCACTTAGGTTAATGTTTATGTTTATGCGCTATGCTTATGTTTACGTTTGCATTGTGAATGGGCCTCAACTGTAGCAACACGGAGATGCGACGCGTTTCGCGCCTGAAAGCCTCGCCGCGAGCCGGTCTCGGCGCCCGCAAGGCCGCGCTTTTTACTGGCAAAGCCCAGGCGGCGCTGGCGGCGGCCCGCGTGAGCCTTTGGGGCCAAGGACCTCAGGTACAGGGCGACGCGACGCGAACGCCGGTGACGCCCCGCCCCACTCCACTCCACTCCACTCTACACCGCACGGCACCTCCGCGGCTCCCGAATCGCACGTGCGTTGCCACATTGTCGTGCTTGACTCACTGGGGTAGCGTGAGCGCCGCAGCTCTGGATCTGAGCCGGCAGCACAGGTCCGTTGACATTCAAGTGAAGGACTTGGAGCAGTAACAAGACAAGCTACACCATACACAGGAGGCCTGCTGATATTTGGAAATGATAGGTCGGTTTTGGTGAAAGTGTATCTTGTCTTGTTACTGAACGTACATGTTTTGTTCACTTTTGTGAAAGGGTTGGGACCTTGCAAGATGAATCACCCGTCGACCAAAATACAGATTTGCGAACATCGGGGGGCGTGGTAGCCCTGCTTGTGGCTGATGTGGCTTACCTTGTTACTGTTCCAAATCCTTCGAATTCAACAATAAAAACTAATAAAAATATTTAAAGAAAGTAATTTAAAGACAAGATATTGTTAAATTTAAATTTAAAAATCATCAAGACCCCTAATAAAACTATATAGGATTATCTGAAACCCTCTATCTTAATACTACAAAAAAAACTGATATTTTTGAGATTGTTATATTTGTAAATATATCAACTCTTTAGAGAAAATTGAAGGCTTGGAAAGAAGAAATTTTCAAGTGCCAAGTCCTATTTTTTATTCTTGGTAATCACTTCATTTGAAATTGTGAAGCTATTCAAACTTGGCTTGCCGCTGCATAATGAGGTTAATGGTTTAACCTGTTAGACGAGACACTGAAACCCAGTTTACTCCCATCTGAGAAGACCAGAGTGTTCGAATGAGCACCGGGTCCTTAGATTTAAAAACGGATTTGGAGGCTTTTAAATCGTAATTTAAAAGTAGGGATTCAATAGCTATTTATTGTCGTATTTTTTCAGTAATAAATAATGGGATAAATATTGATAATATGTCCATTCATTAAATAAAACTGTATTTGTTTTTTCCTCAAATAATAGCGGCCTTCTTTGCATCAAGAGGCTTTTTGAGCTGAATCGAATATTTTTATGTAATTTGGCATAACATTACTATTGTATTTCGTGATTTACAGATGGTTCAGTTCGTATTGCTAAACCTCTAGGTCGTCCTAGTAAGATACGTAAATATATGCACGTGACATTTTATGTGTGTACAATACGTTTTGTGATAATTGTTGATATAAAATGTGACTTTCTGCTATTTCCATTGCACAAGGCGAAAGCTTTTTTTCCTGACCCCCGGTAGTAGTTGCGAGACCACGGTATGAATTGTTTTTTTTTAACTTACGATAGTATATTCATGAAAAATGTTTGTGACAGAGAATGTATGAACTGTGATCAAGTGGGAATTGTGAAGTTCTGAGGAATCACCCCGTCAAAAATTACCTTCTTTTGTGCAAAATTTAATGGATTTCAAATGTAATTACGTACTAGAAGATGCCATTCCCTCCGATATTTGAAGTGATATCAAATGGAGAAGTTCATTGAAGTATGTCGAGAATATATGAAGTATTTTCTAAGTTTCCAAAAGTTATCCCGATTTAATTCAATTGTCTTCAAATATTCTAGTATTTTCTCCAAATTATGATGATTAGACCATATTGGTAACTCCAATGAAAGTGACGCATTCCACTTATGGCAATTAATTTTGATGTGCATAGATTGAGGGCTCGCCAGACTTCTCAAGTAGTGTTGCGGGACATTCGAGTGTTGAACTTGTTTCGGGACAACTCGAAAACTCATTTTGAAATTCGGATGCCCAATGTTCGGTACAATTAAAGTATGAAATATCAATTCGTTCAACTTTTTTTTCATTCAAGTCTCATAAATTAGTTCTTTCAAGTTATCAAGAGGAGCTTGCAAGCTTATAATTCTGTTTTGGTTATTGACAGTTTAGATCTGCCGGTTATCACTTCCTCACCGACCGAAGGGTCGAAATTATTCTTCAAGAGTTACTATCGATTGAGGTTCTTTTCATTCATGATACAATGTGTTCTTATTGCGCATAGCAGTGATGTACAATCTGTGCAAATTCGTGGATCAGGATTAAAGGTTTGTTGTGAATGTGTCCTCTTGTATTCGTAAATAAATTCAGTAAATATGACACTTTACGATTTGTGCATAGTTATAACGACAAATGGTTGCTATTGAAAGAAATAGTTTTATGTTCACATATTGGCATTATCTTCCTACGAAAGGAACTTGAATTGTTTAGTATCTGTATGACCTGGTGTCTCTCTGATGTTCCCTGCATGTCGTATAAACACTTCTTGTTTTGAAAGTTTGCACCCATTTCGGATATCGGAAGCTTTTGACCAATTTTATTTTCAGCACCGTTCATAACTGGCAAATTGTATTGATCAACAACTTTATATGTCAGTAATATGATTACACGCAGGCAGTGATAATTTTTCTTTCAAATTCATTTTTCAAGTTCAATTTTTCATCATCTTAAAATGGGATTGCGTAAACAGCAATGCTCTCCTATGGCTTCATAACGTCACGTTACTGTTTGATAGAAAAATATCGCTGGGATTGTAGGTAACTGTTGCAGGTTCTCAGTCAGATATACGTTTCTTTTCTTTCAAATTATCTTGGGAATTCCAATTAATTTGTTTTATTTGAATCATTGATGTCAATTCTTCATCATAATGCAATTCTTCATCATGATTCTTACATCATAATTCTTACATCATAATATAAGAATACCCAGTGTTAAGTTGTAATGAAAGGAGATGTAGTACATTGAAATATACACATGAACTTAAACATCGTTAATGGATCTATGGTGAAACACACACGCACAAAAATTAACACCGAATTTAGGAATGCTTGAAATTTGGGAAAGAAAGATAGCACCCAGTTCGTGGCCTTTAGGGCATACGAAGCGCAGGTCATTATGCGGTCTTTCGCAGCTGCACTTATCTAGGCGGTGTGTCGTTTTACCTCAGTCGACACCCGTCATAAGCGGTTTCTTCACCGCGGACGAGAGGTCGGTCACGGCACTTTAACTCCAACGCCTTCTTTTCCGAGGTGTGTTTCCCCAGCACGCGAGACCCTCACCCCGGCAACCACAAGGTAGCGATCCCAAAATGTCGTTGTCCTCCTGATTTTATGCAATCATTATGACTCCAGTTCTCGCGTAATTCTATAAGCGTTGTCCGAGGTTAATTGCGACTCCAAAGAGTTATCGTGTGCCGCCTATCCTCTTTGAGTGGTTACTCACCTGCACTTTGCTCTACTTGAATGCGAAACAGCCGCGGCATAAAGAGCCTTACGATGCGTTGGTCATAATACTGAGGCGAAGGTTGGCCATAATACGGGGCTGCGAAGACTAATATATCTCCCGGGCCAGCGCCAGGCATCTGGAAACTACAAAGTTCACACTCGTTGTGTTCATACTCGAGTGATAGACATACCGTTAAAAAAGTGTTCATTCCCTAAGAAAGTGAGTTCACTTAAATTTTCCGATTGATTTATTAATTGATGCTTCCGGACAGGTCACCTGCTTCAGTTCCTGACTAATGTACTGTTCCCCTGTACTGTAGCGAATATATTTTTCGCGGGTGATAGCAGGAATCCTCCCCCACTGAATGGTGAAAAACCGGCGGATTTCTTCTCTCCGCACCTCACCCATCGTCCCGCCCATGACAAGGAAGAGGAAGGAAATATCGCATCCATGGCCCTTGTTAGGGCACTTTTCCGGCAGTCGCCTGGTGTTGATCGGAGAACCCCCTGTAAACTACTGCTCAGACCAGCCGTCCGTTGGAATTCTTCTCTACACCAACAATGTATTTGGCCAAGCTACTGTGCAGCTGTTGTCCAAAATCCGCCACCATCGAGACTCATATCCTGGGATCTGCCGGTCACAGTCGCTGCTGACACAGCGGCAATGGTGGCTCTAAAATAATCTCACCTGTTGCGTTCACTTTGAATAATACTCTGTAAATCCAACTTCGGCGTGGTTGCACTTCAAACAAGTTTTTCTAAGGAAGTTTCGCCAGACCCTTTAATAGTAGCCTGCTTCCCCATTTGTCGGTTTTGAACATGTGTGCCAATGTGGAGATTCTGCGCCAATACCAATTAATGGGATGGATTTTTTTAGCATTAAACGTCCTTCCTCGTTTCCTGGTTCTCAGGCTTACATCGACCGCCAAACGTGTCGCTCTTTGAAATACCTCATTGGAGATCCTTTGTTGGTGCACATGGCTTTCGTCGGCGTACTCCCACCTCCACAAGCCTTTCCTTGAACTGTTTCTCTAAAACATAAACGCGTACTGTTTGTTATTCTGCAATATGCCGGTCGCCTTTCCTTCCTCGACATAATTTCGAGCTTTCGGTAGTCGGCTCGGTCGCCGCCCGGCCACCAGTTGTGCGCGAGCCCCGTCGTGGGCTGGCCGGAGACTACTAGGAGAACCTCTGCCCACTGGGACTGTTCGATATTTGTTGCGATCTCTATAAAAGTCAACATCAATATCTATCGTGATTGTAATTTAAAGTCTCATATACTATTAGACCACTCCTTTTGATTATGGGAATAGTTTCTGAAAGTAAGATTGTCTATTATGAGCATTATTTGTCTTACCTATAATTGGCTACATAAACGGTTCTCATTAATACGCACGTTATAACCATCGTTCCCATTAAATCGTTTCCGTCACTATGATGAGTTTTATTGGAACTGTCTTCCAACATCCTCCTGGGCCAGCAAGGAATTGAAATGGCGAGAGATAGCCAGCAATCACGGGTTTGAGCATGGCTACTTCTCATCTCAATAGCCTTTAGTCGACGTGTATTAACGATATTTTATCCTCTCTTTTCTAAATTTTAAGTGTTACCTATTGTGATATTTTATTAGGAAACCTATTTTATTGAGTACTGTTTGTATGCCATCGGTCATGGAGTCGTCTGGGTAGCATAATTTTTTAAAAATCGTCTATGTTTGTAGTGGCCAGTATTGTCAACTTTAAGTCCGCCCTGATGACCCACGTACGCATTTCAATCCTTTTACGAATATCTCAGTTTGATGCCTACTCTTGATGACTCCAAAATCATCTCAAAGCAAGAATTACATAACTTATTGAGAATTTGAAAAGCCAAATCGATTTGGAAAAGATGAATCTGGGCGAACGCATAAAGGGAGGATCCCGTCTTTTAGCAGTCATCTCACATCGTACATTTAATACCTTTAGAAATATTGTAAGCACAGTAAACCGTTAAAATGTCTTAAGCACTAAAAAAATTAATAACAAGCTTCAATATCATCTGTCATTGCGCTTTACTTATTTTAAGTTTTAAGCTCATGAGCAGGGAAACCATATCTAAACCCGCTGGTGTCGCAAACCATGGAGAAAAGTGTTCGTTTTTTCCCAGAGGTTGAATATATATCACTATTTTGCCGAGTCAACTGGGCGAAATTGTTTAACACTGGGAAACTTTTGAAATAGCTGGCCACGTTACAACGCTCCGTTAGACTTCCACCAGCCCGCAATCACTTTCAAAGCTGAGACTTCTGTTTCTTCGCTATTGTAACGTTGGTTGGAGATAAAAATGTCCAATGCAAAATGTCCATTTATCAATTTCCTCACGTACAATGCCCTAACTACATAACGCTCTAACAAATATCAAGAGTAAACAATGCCCAATTTATTATACGAATGTCCATAAAGTTCATTAGAAAAAGGTGTACAGTTACAAAATATTATATGTCCACATTGTACTGTCCATTTTATTATATGCCCATAAAGTTTAGTACAAAAATATCTATTATTACGAAACTCCGACCTGTGGAACGATCACATCGGCAACGCTGGAGAGAGCAGCCAAGTCTGCTTTAAGTGATGTAACGCCGCTGGCTGACGCCGTCGGCGGCGGCAACTTTTCTAACAGTCTTGTCTGGTCTGTTAGTCGTTTGAAGTGACGCCTCGCCATCATGGCGCTTGTACATTGTACTTCTTTAATCAGTGCGCTCCCAGCAGCGGCATGCGTCACATGCACAAAACGTCTCCAAATGATTTACGCTATAATTTGATGCACGTTTTCACGTTTTCAAATGTATTTTTGTATGTAAGAACATCCTGTGTAAACACATCTGAACATATGTATTCTAAAATACCAATTACATCATGTAGTTTTCCAGTGTTGTTCATACAGTGTGTAATTGTATTAGTGCTTCGCATACGTCAAATTATTGATTTACTAATCACATCATTCTTTGTTATGGTGCGACATGTGTTCACCATGGCTTCATCGTCCTCGTATCAGACAAGAAAGGTATATTGCCAAACAAAAGTATGCAACGTGAACTCTGAAACGGTCTGTAAATATTATTTATAACATTTATCCGTCGTAAAGTAAAGTTTCTAACAATTGAAAACATTGCAATCTGAACAAATAGTCACAAAATACTTCGCAGTGGCTATAAACTTTCAAATCGTAACCACAAGTTCATGAACATTTTGTAATTCATTGTAATTTACAATTTATTGTATTCTTCATATGTTATTTGTTAAAAGAACGTGCTGTAGGTTAGACATATTTGTAATTATACGTTTAGTTACATGCAAATACTTAGAATGTGCAATTTGGTCTTCTTAATCAGTCATTTCACTAATCTGTTCCATTGTTATGTATGAATGTATGTATGTACTTGGCGCCCATAAATGGGCTCAGGCCTACCGGCTACGTCCCTACATGGCGGCCATGTGTTAAGGGGGTACGTGTGGTTAGCACGTAGACATTCCCACGCCGTATTACGGTCTTCTCAACCTGAGAAGTCAATTTTCTCAACGTCACACAGCAACATGTATTGGGAAGGCAAACGCACATTATAGTCTTGGCTCGAACGGGAATCGACCCGCGGCCGCGTAGTGGAAACAGAGCACGCTGACCAAGAGCCCCTTCCCGTTGTCGTCTTACCCAAATTAGTTTTGCTCTGGATTTCTGAATTTTCATAATTTAGCAAGCTACTGGAGATCCCAAAACAGTGGGAATTCATCCAAAAACATTTGCCCTTCAGCCAGGAGCTGAACCAAAACATTTGGTTTGCCTAGGCCTGTATCTAACCTAGGCAAGCCATTCACAGTACAAAAATTTCCATCGTTCAAGTTCTTTCTTCTGATAAAGTTTTAAATTATATGATACACCTCGTCGATAGACTTCAACCCTTATTCTTTGTACGGATTATACTTCTGCACTAAATTTTCTATTCATTGTTTGCTTATATATATATATATATATATATATATATATATCCTATTGCATTTGCAATTGCATTTGAACTGTAATACTTTCTTTTTATGTTGTTCTTTTATATGCTGCAGAAACCTCTATATACTAACGCCATGAGTAGCAAACATCTTTTGAAATTTACTGTGAAAAGCTTCCACAGTGTTATTTGCCCTCTAGTATCCACGAACTGTAGGCAAGAATATGTTCAAAATGGTTAGTGGATATCTAAGGGGAGGGGGAGGCAGTTAATCTTTGTCCTTGGACACGTCTAACTCTCACATAATGTAACTTGTATGTAATCAGCCAGGTTCAGTATCTCTTCTTTGATATCATTGCATAAAAGATGGAATTAATTTTCCAAACTTTCTGAAGGTATAAATGGTACAGACATAAGTTCTTGAATTTGTGACGAGGTTCTTCCGAATTTATATATAATTCACATAAACCAAGGACTTTCCTGGACAGTTGGGAGCCGAAGGAGGAGGCAGTGGGCTGTTGATATGACTTGGATGAGCTAGCATCCAGCTCCTTCCACTTACCTTGACACCTTTATTATCAACGCGTATAATGCGACGCGGACGCATTCCTGTAAATGTTAGTATTTACAGACGACGTCACTTATAATTTGGGAGAATTCAGTAGACTGATTGATGAGAAAAACATGTAATTAAAACCAAGTAAAATACACTTGATTTCAATTATGATTACATCTAAGTCGAGAACTTTTAAATAATTGCAATAGCTGTAGGCATGTGCAATTGAAGACTGATTAAATTTGTTAAAATTAATATTGAAAGATTGCAATGGACGTAAGCATTTGCAGTTGAAGACTGTGTTGATTGCAGATAACATTAAAACATGGCAATATCTACAGGGCATATACAGTTGAAGACTGTTAGTTACAATTAGCACGTAACACGAGTTCGAATATGAACAGCACTAGAAATGAAAAACATGCTACATTGTATATAAACAGAATAATGATAATGCAGCGTAGTCTTGAAGATTGCACACGGACGCAGATATGTGTAGTGAACGCCCTACTGAGGAGATGGGGTGGCGATTTGCAAGCACTGGTGGCAACTAGAAGTCTAGGAATGCCGCGAATTATAACTGGCAATCGCAGAAAATTTCT